GGCAAACTACAAATTTACAAGTCCAGGTTTCCTATCCAGTGAAACGGGGCCAATTCCACCCCCATGGGGCTTTTAAGATTGCATGAAGCACACGGTATACTTTCTGGAATTCAGTAAGCCCTCAACAAATGGTACTCAGGTTGTTTTTTCATTTGTTTTGTTTGAAAGCCCTTCCTTGCCCATCTTGTCACCTGGGGTTGGCAATGCCAGGTAGCTGAAGGAAATGAGGGTGAGATTCAAGGTGAGGCAGACAAGGTCCTGCAGGGGAAGGAGGGTTAGGAAGGGGAGCTGAATAAGGATGCAGGAGGCAAGTCCAGTGTCCTGGCTCCAGAGTCCCAGAGCAGAGTGGATCTGGGCACCCCTGGGCCTTCAGCTCCCTCTCCTGCCCCTCCCAAACACCCTGCTACCTCTTGTCACTGAGGAGACAAATTCCCAGCTAGACAAGATAGACCCTGCCTATTGCTCCTTTGGCTTCCCCCCACTCTGCCCTCCATGATTCAGCCAGACTAAACATGTTTAAAGTTCTCTTGTCAAGAAGGCTCCCCACCACCTCTCATGTCCCAGGTTTGGGTACTGTTCCTGCAAGAACAGGTCGGCAGCCCTTCTGATACGAATTAATTTTTCCTCCTCTACCTCCCACTCAAATGCATACAAATAAATGCACAAAATACTTTGCCAGTTTCTTCCAGCAGGTAAGTGGCTACGAAGCCTGAGTTCTGTGCACCGCTGTATTCCCAGCACCTAGGATAGTACCTGGCACTTAGAATGTACTCAATAAAAATGTGTTGAAAGAACCACTATTCAAATTGCCTGGTGGCAGATCTGCTTCCTCCTCTTACTGGGAAGCATGCTGAGGTTAAGGAGCTATGGGCTATGAACACCTAACACCCAGCAGGTGCTCAGACACTTGTTGCTAAAGATCCGCTCACCGTGGCATTGGGCTCAGACACCCAGAGAGTAGCTGGACTCCGTCACCCTAGCCATCTGAGGGGGCTGTGGCCCACCGACACACCAGGCAGGCTAAAGATCTCCACCTTGGGGGAAAAGTCTCACCTAAAAACTTGGGATGCTGGCCAGACACCCTTTCTATTGTGGGGAAAGTAACAAGCATTAGCTTGAGGACAAATAAAGGAAAGGATGTCCCCCACTGCCTCCAGATAAAATGGTGACCGAGTGTACAATAAAGACTTGCTGTCTCTTGACACAGGGTGAAAAGCAAGAATCCAGAAGAGATGGGTCTGGTAGGGAGGCATAGGGGGTGGGGTGGGGTGGGGTGGGGTGGGGTGGGGTGGGGTGGGGTGGGGTGGGGGTGGAATCCAGAAGAGATTCCGTTCTTCAAGATGAAGGAAAAATAACTTCTCAGTACACAGCACAGTACAGAGTAATCCACAATCTGGTTAATCCTCAATTATCCCAGCATTACCCTCCCAGTTACGTACCTCACACCATGTACACATTGTCACCAAATGACTGGAACAATAGTGGTCTCAGCAGCACTAGCTGTATTAGCCAAGAAATGCAGTTCCTCAAATGCCCATCAGCAGAACTGTGGCTGGTCAGCAATGAACACTAACACAACAATGAGGGTCAACCCCATGATGCTCAGAAGTGTGCAAGAATCCCACATGCGTGTAAGCCAGATCCAAGGGGCTATTCTATTCTTTTACAAAAAGTTCAAATACAGGCACATTCATCTCCAGTATTAGAAGTTGGAAGATTTCAGGCCTCCCTGGTGGCGTAGAGGTTAAGTCTCAGTGCTATCAAGCTATCACCAGCCACTGTGCCATGAATTCGATACCAGGCCAGGGAGCTGACCCACATGGCACAGCAGACCTCTCCTGTCTCACCTGCTACTCCCCTCAGCAGTGCATTTCAGTAGAACTGCCTATTCTGATCCCCATTCTCTCCTGTGAATCTTCTCACACACAACCCCCCCCCCAGTACCTCTGGTCTACACCCCAGTTCTTGTTTGCATAAATAAATACATCTTTAAAAAAAAAAGTTAGGGCCTCCCCTGGTGGCACAGGTGGTTGAGCGCTGCGCTGTGAAGTTGTCCGCAGCCTCTGCATTGCTGGTTCAATTCGCGACCAGCAAGTGTCCCACATGGTGTGGCAGACCTCTCCTGTCCCGCCCACTGCTCCCCTCAGCAGCATATTTCGTCAATCTGACTGTTCTGTTCCCCACTGTCTCTGGTGAATCCTCTCACCCTCCTGCGCATCTGACCTATACCCCGGTTCAGGTATAAATAAATAAATCTTAAAAAAGATTTTTTGGCGGAAGAGTAGAGATCCAGAGAGAAGGGGCATCTGAGGTGCTGGTGATGCTGTTTCTGGATCTGTGTGCTGGGTACATGGTTGTTTTGTGACGTCCATCACATAGGCACCTTTTTCCACCCATGTTGTTTTTCAATAACAGACATTCCCTGCACGGAGACGGTCAGCCTCAGGACAAAAGCCTCTACTGATCTGACCATGATCTCCCTCCTCCTCATTCCTCCTCCAAATGCTTTGCGGTTCTTCAGTTTCCCATCCTAGAAACTTTTAACTTGTTTCCCCTCATAAGCAGTGCTTTCCTCAGGCAGCGGGGAGGTCAGGGCACCCTGCCCTGGGTAACCTAGGAACAGGTGAGGAGCTGGAAAGGGAGACTAGAGGTTTGAGACCTGCTCCCCAGGCACAAGCCAACACTGCTGTACGGCAGCCCCAACTGCTGCTGAGCCCAGAACGCAGCAGGCCAGGCTCAAAGCCAATCCTCCCCCCAGTGCGTTCCCAAATACTCATTCCTCAGAGGCAGAACTGCTGGGCCCTAAGAACTCCCCCTGGGCTGCAGAGGCAGATGACCAGTTGGTGTTGACAGTCCCAGCGATCTCACGCCAAGTTCCGTACCCCATTTTTTTTAAAGATTTATGTATTTATTTATACAAGCACTGGGTTCAATCACAAGCGCAGGAGGGTGAGAGAATTCACCAGAGCCAGAGCGGGGAGCAGAACAGGCAGACTGACGAAGAAATACACTGCTGAGGGGAGCAGCGGGTGCGGCAGGAGAGGTCTGTCGCACCATGTGGGACCCTCGCCGGTGGCCGGGGATCGAACCGGCGCTGCAGAGGCTGCGGGCAGCTTCGCAACCCAGCGCTCAACTGCCGATCCACCAGGGGAGGCTCTCCATACCCCATTTTACAGCTAAGGGAATGTTACCACCATCTGCTCTGCAATTCAATCATAAGCATAAAAATAACTAACAGTAGACCAGAAATGCCCCAAGGCCAATGATTTGGTTTGGTACATGGCCTTAGCTGCAGTTCTAGAATAGTGCCTGACACAAGCAGCCACCAAATATACCAAAAGAATAAGATGCAAATATACTGACACAGCCCAGAATGGCGGCTCCAAAATTTAAAGGCAATTTTTACACTCCTACTTGAAATAGGCAAAACCATCTTGAAGTTAACTCATGCTCAGTCAGATTCATTACTGAACTTTGAAGCTTGCTACCAACACTAATGAGGGATGGCTTTAATCTTACCCAAAGGCTGACTAAAGGTGATCTGAACCTGGGAGGGGCCATAATGAAGCCCTGGATTTGTTTTACTGCCATTAAACTACCTGTCTCAACTGCCATTAAGGATGTATAGACCACTTGAGAGCTGGCCCTTCTAATCACTCCACTAGCCTTGCAAGTTTCCTCCTCCCACCCCCCTCCTTTGTCCTTGCTTCCAGACCACACTTGAGGGAAGTGGGAGGCAGGCTGGAAGGTGGAGGTAGGGGACCAGCTCCTGTTTCATTCCCTCCCAGATTAATCTGCCCCAAATCCTACCATTAGGAAACTTAGAGATTGTACCCAAGCCCGTTTCCTCTATAGGAATGTTATGGAAAACCCTTAAACATAAAGGAGTAAATGACTGAGCACTCTTGAGGTAGGGACTGTTTGGGGTGATTGGGATTCCACATTCACATCATTTTCCCACCCACCTCTCACTTCCTAGTAGGAAAGTGTCAGGGAATTTGGGGGTCAGAAACTTGTATTTAAAAAATGAATTGAGGGCCTCCCCGGTGGCGCAGCGGTTGAGCGCTTGGTTGCGAAGCTGCCCGCGCCCTCTGCGACGCAGGTTCGATCCCCGGCTGCTCCCCGGCCACCAGAGGAGGGTCCCACATGGCACGCAGACCTCTCCTGCCGCCCGCTGCTCCCCTCAGCAGTGTACTTCGGTCCTTCTGCCTGCTCTGCTCCCCGCTCTGCCTCTGGTGAATTCTCTCACCCTCCCGCGCTTCTGACTGTACCCAGTGCATGTATAAACAAACAAACAATAAATAAATAAATAAAACATGCCTCTATTTAAAAAAAAAAAAAAAAATGAATTGAGGGCCTCCCCAGTGGCACAGCGGGTTGAGTGCAGTACTGTGAAGCTGTCCGCAGGCTCTGCAGCGCGGGTTCGATTTCCGGCTGGCCAGTGAGATTCCCACATGTTGCGGCAGACCTCTCTTGTCTCGCCCCGCTGCTCCCCTCAGCAGTGTATTTCAGTCAGTCTGCCTGTTCTACTCCCCGCTCTGTCTCTGGCGAATTCTCTTTCCCTCCCAGCCTCTGGCCTGTACCCCAGTTCTTGTATAAATAAAAATAAATAAATCTTAATAGAATAAAATAAAATGAAATATGAATTTAAAGTAGAGCAAAGATTGAAATGCATTGCAGGTCACTGCAGAGCTGGCTTTGGGAAAACGAGAACCACTCAGAGTTCATCCTCAAATGGGCAGAAGTTCACAAAACTGTGTGACTCAAACACCTACTGGCCATCTTCTTATGTGCCGTGTCCCGGGCACATACCCGGAGGTGAAAACCAGGTCATGAGCCTCTCAGGGATGCTCATGAGCCACTCTGCTGGGGAACTGAATCCATGAAGCTATTCTTTCATTTTCCCACTTTTAAAACCTCCAACTGGGCTGGGTTACAGGGTTTCTGAAGTCCCAACTCTGAGATTAAGAGCTCAAGTTGTTTAATATTTACCTTACCAGCTTCAAGAGAATGTCAGGAGGATAAAGCAAGCTCAGAGTTGTGGGAGAGCTTTGAAGAGGAAAGCACACGTACAAACAAGGTATTAATTATATCAGATAATTTCTTTGAGCTCAACTTCATAGACACCTATGATATTCATAACCCAGGGGCAAACAGAGGCAATAGTACTTTTGCAATATGGAAACTGTTGTCTGCTTGGCCAAACTGGAGAGTTTGCATGTACCCTTAGGATAACCCTTTCAACCAGGCTGGATCCATGCTGTGTACTGAGGATGGAGAACTGAGGTGGAGGTGGGGAGGTAGAAAAAGGTCAGCAGCTAAGGTGAACAATACTAGTACTTTCTGTTCGGGAGTCCCAATTTATTGAAACCCATTGGGTCCAGAAACTTGCATTTATTTTAAAAGGGCAGCAACCTATTGCAGAGAAGACTCCTCCCAGAACCCCTCATGTTGCAGGGAGGTTCAAGGTTGGCCAAGCACATTAACCCACCCTTTGTTTAATAACCCAGGTGTGCTCCTGGCATGAACCCGCCATTTCATGACCATAAACCAGACATCCGAGAAAGCAGTGTTTTCTCAAAAGGTTTAAAATGCCTGTCTGACGTCATCAGGAAGCACTTGCCACCGGACCATGAAATGAAAAACCTGATCACAGCTTCCCCTCAACAACCTCAAGTTTAGTGAAGTGACAGTTGAGCTGATATTTCTTGCTTCGGTAAGAAAGATGAGGGGCAGACAACACTCAAAGCCACAGCCGGCTGTCCGAGACTGGAGTCAGAACTTGACAATGAGGTGGAAGAGTACAGATTTGGCAGCAGAGGTCTGGTTAGCAATAAAGCTTCCTCGGGGAGCTGGAATTGAATTTGGGCCCTGCCCAAGTTAACATTTTTTACAGGTTGGCCAGAGTTGCAGTTTGTTAGCTCGTCAGTAATAAACCCATGTGCAAGAATTTAAAGTTTATGAGGCATGGCCTCTTAATGCCTCTCCTCGGCTCCCTACAGCCAAGAGTTTAAGGAGCCTGGCCTAGCCTGGGTGTTAATTATTTTGTCAATCTGCAGAGTTATTTGGGAAAGGAAGGAAAAAAGGTTTCCACAGACTCCAGGTTCCCAATCCTCTTTTGAGAAACAAAGGAGAGCCATTCTGTCCCAGAGGTACAGACACCCCCACAAGCAAGCGGTGCTAATTTGTACCTGGGGCGAAGAATATGCTGAGGGAGGCATTAGTAAAATGCTAGATGTAAACAGTTCTTCATTGCTTAGAAAGCCAGGCAAACTATAGATTCCCTCCCTAGAAAAACGCATCATACACTCGCAAACAATTTTACAATTTAAGGATCCTCTGGGACCCCACCGAAGAGTCCTGGGTGTTAAAAGAATTTGGATTTGGGGGGTGGGGGCGGGGGGAGAACAGTCCTTGAATGGAAGTGCAAGAGGCCCTGCCAGGGTCTCTCTCGTAACACAGGTCCTCCTTCCAAACTGACTCCCCAACTCTCCATTTTTTTTTTTTAACTTGAATGGGGAACAAATAATTGGGAGATGAAAATGTGCTTTGATCTCCCATCCAGCGCCCAAACAGTTCAAAATCTTCTGTATTGAGACCGACCAACTCCCGCCCCTTCCCCAAATGCCCTAATATTCCGGTCCCTAGACGCTGGGGTGGGGGCGAGTATGGGAACCAGGGGTGTCCCCTGTGCGTGATGGCCCTAATCCAGGTGTGCCAGGCCCGGCTTCCAGGCAGCTGCAGGGCGCAGGCCCTCCGGGAAGGGCAGGGTTAAGAGTGCATTCCAGCTGCCGGGGAAAGAAGGGGGGCGGGGAGGGGAGCGCGAAGAAGAGAAACAGACCTGGTCTGTCTGTCGAAGACACAAAGCACGTTACACAAAGGGGGCCGAGAGGGGCGAAGGGGCCTGCTCCGGGCACGGCTCATCCCACACCTGCGAGGGGGCTGGGGGAGGAATGTGGCCGGCGCATTCCTCCATGAGGCCAGCGGGGGCGAAGCGCCCGCATCCGGGCCGGGTGGCGAGATCAGAAGCCCCGCGCCCTACAGAGGCGGTTAAGGTAAGTCGAGGCAGCCAGGCGAGGAGGGGCAGGACGTCCGAGGACGCCAGGGTCTCCCGCCTTCTCCAGGCACCCCCCCCCTTCCGGCCGGGAGAGGCTTTCCGCGCCTCCCCCAGACCTGTGGCGGCGCCAGGAGCCCCCCCGCCCCAGCCCGGACCCCCTCGCGCAGCCCACGAGAGCGGACCACGTGCGGCCCCGGCTCCGCCCGGGCCGCGCCCGCAGGCTCTTACCTTTCCCGAGCGCCGGGCCCGGCTCCAGCTCCGCGCCCCCCGCCTCCAAGGTCAGTTCAGCCTCCCCGAAGCGCGCCCCGCACGGCTCCGAGGCGGCGCACGGCCGGCAGCAAACGAGCGCCTGAGGGACGAGGGGAAAGGAGGCGTCCGGGTCACAGAGGCGCCGGCCCCGCGCACCCATGCGGGCAGCGGGCGTCGGTCCTCGCGTCCCGATAGATACCCCGGCCCCCAGGAGCGCGCCCGCGGCTCCCCGACGCCAGCGCCGCGCGCGGACCCCACCCGCCCTCCAGGGAGCCCCCGGCGGGGCAGGGGCCCGGCGGCGGGTACCTGGAGGAGGATGTGGAGGCAGAGGGACGCGGGAGGCCCGCGGGGGAGCCCCATGACCCGAGCGAGGGCGGCGAAGAAGCCGGCGCGACGGCGAGCGGGTACCCGGCTCAGCTCTCGCGGCCCGAGTGCGCCCCGCCGCGCGCCGGAGCCGGCGGGGGCGGCCAGGTGAGCGCAGGTAGGTGCTGATTGGTCCGCGCCCTCAAGGCCCCGCCCCCGGCAGGTGGGGCCGCGGCGGGCTGGGTCCCGACTCCGGGAAGCCCCCCCTGCCCTCCGTGCCCTCCGGCGATCTCTCGGCTTCCGCGGAGCAGGTCCTGGCAGGAGCCCAGGCCCGCTTAGTAGGTTCGGGGCTCGAGGAGGGGAAGGAGGAAACCCACCCCTCAACCTCTGCGGCGCGCAAAGAAAATTGTTTCTGTGTTTGCGGCTGCAGCGGAACAAGGTGGACACACATCTGCACCCGCCTGGAAAAGAGGCGCCCGGTTCATGCTCCCCGCGCCACCCCCGGGGGCTCTGGCGCCGGCCGGGTGCGCGCGCCCCACTCCGGGCCACCGAGGGGCCGCGCGCGGCCGCTGCCCCCTCCCGCGCCCGCCCCGCCCGGGACCCCGGGGGCTCGCGGCCGTCAGAGAGGCCCGAGGGCAGCGCTGCAGGCTCGGCCGCGACCCGCGGGAGATCCCTCGTGCCCTTCTCAGCCGGACGCTGCGGGAGGGAGAGAAGGTGCCCGAGTGCAGAGGCCGGAGCACGCCCACGGGTGCGAGGGGTGGGTGGGCGCCTGACGCGGCGGCCTCATCTCCAGCAAAGCCCCTCCGTCCCCAGGAAGTAATTACAGGTTCTCAACTTTGGGTACATGGTCCACGAGGGCTTTTTAAAAACGCCTTTTTATTGGTGAGAAATGCAGATAAGCCAGGACTGTTGCCGCGCTGACTCGCAGGGGCTCCCTTCGCCAGCAGCCCCTCCGCCCGGCGCTGCCCCCTCAGCGTTTCCCGGCCTCGGCACACGGGGGCCCGGGCTGCGACAGGCCCCAGGCCCCGTCCCTCCACCCTGTGCCCCTCTCTCCACCCGGCGGGGCTTTCCCACCTCCCCAGCGCCTGGCGAGCCCCGGGTAATACCTCCTGGCCCTCTTCTCGCCCGACCCCAGCAGATTTAGGGGCTTGAGGACAGCCTGGGGCCTCGGATAGACTCCCCGGCACCCAAGGGCTACGCGAGGCGTCCTCTCCGGCCGAGCTGCGGCTGTGGGGCCCGCGCCGCCTGGGCTCAACCCCTGGTTCGGCCACGTCCTAGCGCTGGGGCCCCACGCGAGCCCCCTGAGCCTCAGTTCTGCGTGCGACAATTGAGGCTGTGCCATCTGCCCCCTAAAATACTAGGATTAGATGAATCAATCCATATAGACCAGGATGAGGTAAATGGGCGCGTCTAAGGCGCTCAGTGCGGTACCCGACGCACACCAAGCGCCCAAACGTTGCCTGGGGTGAGAGTCTAGGGCAGCTCATTTCTCCTGCCCCCCGCCCCCCGCCCCGCGAGCTGTTTCTGCAGCACCCCACGTTCTCCAGCGGGAAGAACGAGAAACGCAGGACTCCTTCCATTTCACGGCTGAGGATAAAGCGAGCAACTGGCATCTGCTCCCCCCCCCCCCCCCCCCCCCCGAGCGCTGAGCTCTCCGGCGCGCGGCCCCAGGAGCGACACGCGAAGGGAACAGCCCGGGGCACTTGCTGGGCTGCGCGCCCCCCTCGCCAGCTTTCCCGCGAGGGGCGCCCTCGGGGAAGTCAGAGGCCCGCGCGGGGATGCGCAGGCCGCGGACGGCACCGAGGGGCCCCGCCCTATCCTCGCCCGCATCCCCCCCCCGCGCCCGCCCGGAGCCAGATGAAGTCATTAAACGGACAGTTAAACGCCAACGAGCCTCGGGATACAGGCCCTAATTAAGTGCACACCGGCCGGCGGGCGTGGAGCGCTCATTTCCGCCGCCTCGCAGGCTCGCGGCGATCCGGGAGCGGGCGCGGGGAGGGGGGACCGGGAGGCAGCTCCTCGGGCCGCCGCCGGACCCCACTGCTGTCTTGTCCTTCACGCCTCCAGCGGGGCGGTCCTGCGCGGCACTCATGCAACAACGCGTGCTGCCACCTGCCCCGGGCCCAGCTCGAGGGACAGCCTGGTGAACAAAACAATCCCGGCACTCTGGACCGTCCCAGCGCGGGGCCCACAGCGGGCTGCAGACGGAAAATGACATATTGGGTATATATGCTGCACAGCGGAACCCCGCTTTCAGAGGCCTGAAGATAGGGCTGAGTGTTGTCAATATAGTGATCCAGAGGATGCTTAGCACCTCGGACGGGAGGGAGTCCAGGTTTAGAGCTTCTTACTGAACAGAGCCCACCAGGTTCAGCTCTTACCGAACCAGGTACTTAGAAAGAAACACAGGTGATGTTCAGGAAAACAGCAAAAGCCTGGTGGTGTTAGGGGGAACAGGATGTCCTAAAGCTAATTCCATCCAGGCTTTGTGGACGCCACCCCCACCCCAGGCCAAAGCCAAAGACACTGGGAACTCCACATCCCATCCCCACCCAAGGGAAGGTGGCTGGGACCTGAGGGTGGGGTGAAGCAGCCAAGTGATTATAAAGACAGACACGTGGGCTTTGGGGAGGGGTCCCCCATTTTGGCTCTCCGCCAGCTCGCAGCATCCGGCCAGCTCTGAGAGTGCCTTTGGGTTTCCAGGTCGGCGGATCGGGTAGGACGCATTAAAGACTTTATTTCCCTATTTTCTCCCTGAGTTGTACATTTTCCTTATTTCCTTTTCCCTTGTAAATAAACCTTTTATGAACCTTTTGTGTGTGCCTGTAGTGGAGTATTCATAAGTCCCTTTTAAGCGCAGGTGAGGACCCACAGCCAGGAACCTGTTCATTATCGGGGCTGCCCTGTAACAGTGTTACTACTTGGAGGGCTGAAGGTGAAGGGGAAAATGGTGTTGCTGGGGGCGCGGAGGGGCTGGAGACTGGAGGACCACCCCTCCCAAATGCAGCCTGTCCAAGAGGGAACAGGATCACCTGGCCAGGGCAGAGAAGGGAGCGTGCAGGGAAGAAAATGCCATAGCATCTCTCCTTTGCCTTCATCTCCTGGCAGTGCCTCCCACCGACTAAGCACACCCAGAAGCCTCAGGGCAAGAAAGCCCAGGAGCTAATGTGTGTTGGGGTCTTTGTCCCCAGGAAGCCGGCAGGGTGAGCAAACCAGAAAGCCCAGCGGCCTTACTGTCATGGGACTTTTGAACAGACATGAAAGAAGTGAAGGAGCTAGTATTCCAGGTAGAGAAAACAGGGCAAAGGCCCTGAGGCAGCACTAGGGCGAGGGAGGGCAGGGCGGGAAGTAGCCGGTGTGGCTGGCGTAGAGTGAGCAAGTAGGAAATGAGTCAGAGCTGGAGGGTAAAGACAAGTCTCATAGGCCTCCGAGCTTCCTTATAAGAACCTGGGCTTTTACTGAGTGGGAGGGATGGAGGCGCTGGGAGGGATGGAGGCGCTGGAAGTTGGAGCAGAGGAGTGGCCTTGAAAAAAGACTATAGGGCCTCCCTGGTGGTGCAAGGGGTTAAGCACCACACTGTGAAGCAATCCACAGCCTCTGCAGCATGAGTTCCATCCCCAATGGCCAGAGAGAAACCCACATGGCGCAGCAGACCTCTCCTGGCTCGCCCGCTGCTCCCCTCCATTAAAAAAAAAAAACTTAAAAAAGAAATGACCAGAATTTAAAAAAAAAAAAAAAAAAGCAGAAACTAGCACATGTTGGTGAGACTATGAAGACATGGAATGCTTATGCACAGCTGCTATAAAACAGTACAGCCACTATGGAAAATAATATGACAGTTCCTTGAAAAACTAAAGGTAGAATTAGTTTTTATCTTTTTTATTTATTTATTTATTTTTATAGAGGCATGTTTTATTTATTTATTTGTTTGTTTGTTTTGTTTATACATGCACTGGGTACAGTCAGAAGCGCGGGAGGGTGAGAGAATTCACCAGAGCCAGAGCGGGGAGCAGAGCAGGCAGAAGGACCAAAGTACACTGCTGAGGGGAGCAGCGGGCGGCTGGAGAGGTCTGCACGCCATGTGGGACCCTCCTCTGGTGGCCGGGGAGCAGCCGGGGATCGAACTGGCGCCACAGAGGCTGCGGGCAGCCTCGCAACCCAGCGCTCAACCGCTGCGCCACCGGGGAGGCCCGGTAGAATTAGTTTTAAATTGCCATGATCCAGCGGTTCTACTTCAGGATATATACCCAAAAGAACTAATTAAGAGCAGGAACTTAAAGAGCTACCTGCACGCCCATGTGCACAGCAGTATTCATGATAACCAAAAGGTGAAAGCAACCCCAAGTGTCCATCACAGGGCAATGCCATGTTCTGCAATGGGAGGCATGTATAGTGGACACTGCAGGGGCCCCTCAGATCCCCTGGGATCCTGTTGGCATGTCTGTGCTCCCCCCTCTCGGCTGCTGTGTGCTGCTGCTCTGTAACCATCTTCAGAGGCCTGCCCTTGACTACTGGAGCCCTCTGCCCTTGGAGGAAGCACGCAGGAGCTCGCCCCCACAACCTGTGGGCAATGACCCACTTGACAGGGCAGGAGTGTGGAAGCGCAGCTCCCTTTCCTCCAGCCAGACACCCAGCAGAGGTAACCTGGTAAGCTGTCAGGCTGAAGCTACCCTCAAGCCTTGGTCTAAAATCATACCCTTGCTAGACTTCCTGTTCCCTTTATCTTGCGTCTCCCACTCCTTTGCCAGCTCCTCCTGTGAGTCCTTGCTTAATAAGCCATTTGGGCACAGGAATCCTTGTCTAGGGTTGGCTTCCTGGAATCCCGCTGCAGGTGAGCAAGTCTGAGCCTGGGGGAAGATCAAGACCTCCACTGTGGGCAAGTTTAGAGATGCCCAGTAGTGGCATGTCCAGGAGGCTGTGGCTGGAGACACCAGTTCAGCAGAGATGTGCGGTTCGGGATCCTGTGCATTAGTCCAGATGGGAAAGGACCAATTCTGGGGCAATCTTAGAACCCTGGGCCTCTGGGTCTTCGGCGGCAGAACATTTCTACTGTCCCTGACACCCTCTTTTCCAGTAGGGCCACCTTCACCCATTTGGCTCTTTTAAAAAGACACGA